TTGATTTCCTTTTCTTAAACTTTGGTTTATATGCCATTAATTAGTGTAGTTAAAACATTGGATTAAAGGCCTCCTTATATTTATAATTAGGTGCCGTGTGTATCCTAACTTACTAACTTGGAGTAAATATGGCCATTAATCACCATTAAATCATATTTTAACTAAAGTAGCAATAATGGTATTAATTTGATTAATTCGGACATTAGTTGTTTTAATGGAGATAGTAACTAAAAGAATCATTCTTATGTTTGATTAATAAATTGATTAGAATTCTTCAAACAATTTGTTATTTGATTAATTCATTTGTTAAGTTAGACAATTAGTATTATTATTTCTATCATTTTATTTTATTTTATTTTATTATTCAATTAATATTTTTTACTCGATATTTTTCTTATTTACCATCTAACATTTTTGATTTTTCAGTAATAATTTTAATCGATCAGAGCTAAGCAATTCGAATCGGGTTTTTAAATTCTAATTTTCGCAATTAAAGACAACCGATAAATTAATTGGTACCGAAAGGGCGGTTCAAGGGTGCTAATCCTTCCTTGACCGTAACCGACTCCCGAACTCGACGTTTCTGGTACAACGCAGATCATGTAAGATGGTGTCCGACCCACCTAATTTCATTTTAAAATGGTCGGTGGCGACTCCAATCCACATTTTCCAAGTCGAAGCCCAATTTCGGGGCCCAACCGAAAGACAGTTCCGACAATTTGTTTAGACATTTTAGTTTGATGATCGTTTCCCTGTTGGAAACACACAAGTTCAGGATGTGGTTTGCGTCATAATGCCACTTTGTTGTCTTTGACACTGAAATAATCAGATGCTTTCAACTTTTTAGTGCTTTACATGATCGACGTCAAGAAATCAAGATATATTTATTTTAGCGAAACAGTGCAATAAAAAGGTTCATAATTTTAAAGATTTTTTGTGTTAGACATATAAGATTTTATATCCGAAACGTTTTAAGTTGTGTGGAAAATGACAACGATTAATCTATAATTAGATATCTTGTTCCAATATGGATTTATTAAAATTTATATATTTGTAAGGTTTCTTGATTATAAAATATTTACTTTTTAAGTTGTTTTTTAATTGAGTTAATTTTATTTAACTTGTAATATAAATTTAATCGTATACATAAGCAATTATACTTTTCTAATGTATTTTGATTCATGTAGTATATTGAAGTAACAAAAATTAGATTATTGGCAAAAACTAATTATGGTAAAATTACGTATTAAATTTCTTACTTTTAAAATTTAATTTTTATCAATTTTGAAAATGAAATAGTGAAGAACAATTAATCTTTAACGTCAATATTTTTTTCACTTTTGTAGTAAATTGATTGATATGATAATAAATTTAATCATTAATATTTACAAAATAAATTAAGAGTAAAGCATAGTAATGGTCACTGAACTTTTCTAAAGCTTACATTTAGGTCCCCCGACTTTTAAAACTTGCAATACAGTCCTCCAACATTTAGTCCGTTTGTATTATGGTCCCCGACGTAACCTGCCGTTTGACGCCATTACACTGCCATTAGTACGTTTTCAATATGGTCACTAAACTTTTCAGGCGCTTGCATTTAAGTCCCCCAACTTTTAAAACTTACAACATAATCCTCAATTTCATTCTAAACCCCAAATTCCTTTTCGATCTCGAATTTCCTTTTTCGCTTCTCTCTTCTCATTTCCAGTGTAACTTTTCATTCGGGGATGCATGAGAAATTCTAATCTAACTTTGAATTCTATGGAGGTGTTGATTTGAATAATGGTCCATTGAGAGAATACCCGACCAAGGGACTATCGGGACCATTAACGATTCAAGGTGTAATGTTAGATGCAAGTCATCTCAGGTGAAGCGTTCAATGAAATGCTTGTGAGAAAAAAATGGGGTTAGAAATGCAGAGTTGACAAACACTAATAAGATGAACTAAGTATCATTGTTAAAAGTCACCAACAAAGCTGGAATTATTTTATATAAATGACATATAATAATTTCTTCGTTTAATCCTTGTGGCTAAAGATTTTCCAACAGATGATCAAATATAATGAAATCCCAAACAACACCTTCACCTCTTAGTCTCTTTCGCTCACATGCACTCTCGTTTGGTTTTTGTTCTTCAATTTTCCGCCATGTAAAATTGTAAACCCAAGCAGTGCTCTGTCTTTCAGCCTTTTATTTACAAAGAGAAAATAGAAGAATAATTGTTGGAACGCAACACCGATTGCGTTTATTTCTTAGCCTCTCCCCCTCACTTGCGATAAGGTATTTATTTTCTCTTTCAGGCTATCCGGAAGTAAGCTTTTCCTCTTTCGCACTTTCCCATTTTCATCTCGCATTGTGTGTTTTTTGTTGAAATTTTTATGTTTCTGGAACTGCATGTCAAGGATTTGGATATTCAGTGTTAGTTTTGAACCAAAACCATCTAATTTTCTTTATTTCTTCTTAATCAAAACTTTTAGTACTCCTTATGAAAGATATTTAGTCTATCAGAATATAAGTGAAAGAGGGTCCTAGGCTAAATTTTATTGATCTTCTTGTTTGGTTTTTCTTTAAATCAGGGAATTGGTTGTGAGTATCGACATAGTGAAATCGCCAGGCTCAATCCGGGAGACTACTGGTACTAGTTTATTGGGAATTGTATTGATCCGACCTGTGGTTTTTGGCGTCCTGTGAGCTCTTATTCTTTTTAATAAGTTCATATTAATTATGGGACTGATATATCGTGAACGAATTGGATTTTTTACATGTTTTAGAAATTTTACAGTTGAATCTGTAATGAATTATAGCTTTAGAAGACAATTATGCATGCACGTAGCTCGTAAGGCTTCATTACAGAGTAGCATATTTGGAGCAGCTACTTGATATGTTGCCCGATCATTGCACATTTACACCTTCATTTATGGCATATATATGTTTGTTGCAGTGTCTTCTATGTTTTACAATGTCTTTTTTTTTGCTGACATGCCATGAATTTACAAGAATTATGGGGTCTTATGATTTTAGTTCCGCTATTTGCTTTAGATTCTCATTATGTTTGGCTATTGAGGAACATTAAACATGGAGCATTAGAAGCAATTATATGTTAAAAGGGCAGGCCATTAATGCATTTGCAACTGGTAATGTTGTATTTGGTATCTAATGTCTATCTTAAACAACCCATTTGACGCCTTAGCTTTTGGAGTGACTATGACCGAACCTGTTTCCCTTTATTTATTAAGTGCTCCTTTTGAATGAGTTATTAATTGATATTCTTAGTTTATTTTAGTTATTGGTTGGTTGTATGTTGTAGTCATATGAACTAAAGCTCTTTACTATTTTCACAGCCGTTGGATGTGCATGCTCAAGTTCCATCCAAACCTATTAGATTGTCATACCAAAATGCGGCAGCTACGAACAAGACAAATTGGTCTTGTTACTTTTACTTCAACGGTTTATGCAATAAACGTGATAGGTGCACTTTTCATGTTCATAGTGCGATAACCATTGGATGTGCATGCAACAAACCTCAAATTTATATTGAAGTAAACACTATCAAATAGAAAATTCATGTTCAAAATTCCAAAACACTTCAATTACATTCTAAACCCCAAATTCCAAAATATTTTAATTACATTCTAAACCCTAAATTGAAGTATTTTAAAATTTGAGGTTTAAAATGTAATTGAATTATTCTGGAATTTGGGGTTTAGAATGAAATTGAGGATTGTGTTGCAAGTTTTAAAAGTTGGAGGACCATATTGCAAATGGCCGGTTACGTTGGGGACCATATTGCAAACGGACTAAATGTTAGAGGACTGTATTGTAAGTTTTAAAAGTTGGGGACCTAAATGCAAGCTTCAGAAAAGTTCAATGACCATTACTATACTTTACCCATAAATTAATTATGTGTTATATTTTTAAAATTAGTATAAATAAACATGTCTAAATATTGATTGTTAAACTGTTATCAATCAAAATTATATAAAATTATTTATTTTTGAAATCAACGGGAATTAAATTTGTGCTATATTATCGAGAGGACCAATTTGCCTAATCTTGAAATTAAGAGGACCTGGAAGGTTTTTTAGGCTTTAAACACATCCCGCGCCAATTTAGGTTGCTACTTGCCGCCAATTCCCCCGCATAATAAATTGAATCTCGTCCAAAGTAGATTATCTCCATCTTTCTCTTACGGAGAGAAAACTCAACCGATTTATTAATATCTTCTATTAAATGCAGATTCAGGTGAAGTGTGGAGCAGAGAAATGCCCAGAATGGGCAATAATCGAATTACAAGACGTGGTTGAATCGCAACCTTCTTTCCAAGATTCTCTTCAAGATCTACGAATCGGACAGCTCTGTCGCCCTTCTTCCCAGGTTCTTTTTGTTTTGCTGTTTTCGCTCTGGATTATTTACAGTATCAATACTTACTATGAACTCCTCCTGTTTTTAAAAAAATCAGGAGAACTACACTTTTACGATTGGGTACCATGAACTAACGGGTCGAATGGGGTGCTGAAGAAGCCCATGTTGGCGCTGAAGAAGCCCATGTTAGTGTTGAAGAAAACCAAGTGCATGGGCGTTGATCGAAGTGACAGCGGCGACGACCATGATGGTGCTTCTTCATCAAGTGTGGAGCTCGATGTTGTTGGGGTTATTCGCCTCAAGATTTTGTTCAAGACTAGGCCTAAGGCCCTCATTTCTGGTAAAGCTTTTTCAACTTTGATTTCTCAAAATTTCAACATAAACTTGAAAAACTTTTTCCAATCAAATAGTATCTTGATATTATAAATATTTACGATTAAATTTAAACATAAACTTGAAAAATTTAACTCGACTAAAAAAATTTAAATAAAGTTTGAGTTATAAAATAAAACTCGTCAGCTCGAGCAATTCAAAAAAATTTAACTCGACTCAGACTCGATCAAATGCTCATTCCTAATTGCATAAGCCTGTTAGGGTTTATCATTCTAATTCACATCATTTCATTCATAATGTCGGAATTTAAATTTCTAACTTCGCTTAAAAAATTTAAAACCCTGTCCTATTAAATCAACTAATAGTTGGTAAAAACTGGCGATGAACTTTTAATCACGATAAAATGTAACGTTAACCCAGAATTTATTTGACAGAAAGATACACGAGGGTAAAACCAACTTTAACCTGGTATCTTTTCACCCCTCTAAAACTCAAGGACCGGCCACACCTGCACGATTTCTCAACATTTCAGTTCTCTTGCTTCTCTCCATTACCTCCACTAACCACTCCGCGCCTTGTTTAATTCCCGTCCTGCAGTTATAAAACAAAAATGAATGTTTATATCTTCTGCAAATTTAAGTGAATTGAAAGATTTCTGCTGCATCCAGGCAGGCAAATGGAGTTCAAAACTTGGAGATAAGGCTTTTATGAATAAACAAACTTACCCATCAAATGCAGAAACAGCCTCAAACATGTAAACCCTTTCATCCAATTTTTTAAGATCAAGATATCGCGCTAGTTCTTCAGCTGTTACAGCTTCAGAGAGATCCTGCATCAAAGCACAAATGTTGAAAGAATTCAAATGAGTCGGAAGAAAATCTTGCCCACTTTGTAAATTAAGATAAAATTTTAAAAATGATGAATAATCTTTGTAAATATGCTCTTATGTTACGTCTCTCTCAGTTTCTCTCCTCTCATTGTTCTAATTTAGAATGATTTGTATTTGTACATAAGAGTGAGAATAATGATCTTCTATTTTTTTTTTCTCTTACTTCTATTTCTTACTCAGCATGCTCAATTGATTTTCTTTTCACTGCTTCAACCTCCTCTATCCATTCTTCTATTTTTCCACTCAACCATGCACGTCTTATGGTGGACATGAAACCCAATGCTTCAGAGTCCAAAATGCCACATACAGAATTAAATGCAGACACGATTAGAATAGTGTAAAGAGAGGGAGATGATATTGGAGAAGAATTTCTATAAGAGCCTTAAAAAAGAGAGAAAATTTTCCATTGCCAACTTTTAATACAAATAATTACGCTTTTGGGGATATAGGAAAGGACTAGAGATACCTGCTTGTTTGCTAATATCAAGAGAGGGGCTCCCTGCAGATCCTCGTGTCTAAGAACTTTCTCTATACAAAAAGTAAAAGATCCGAGTAAACTATCATATAAGAAATCATGAAACTTCACAAGTTATAAAACTGTAGTCAAATACCCTATACCAGCATAAATCCCATATCATTAAACAATTTGAAATTACTAACCAAGTGCAGATTTTGAATCTTCGAAACGTGAAGGACAAGCAGCATCAATTACGAATACCACAGCATGTGCCTCTTCATAGTATTTCTCCCAAATTGAGCGAAGGCCTGGCTGCAAAAGATAGGAAAGAGAACAAATTTGTCACATACAGAGCTTGCGTTGGACATTTTATCGTGCATGACATAAATATAAAAAAAAATTGTCAAGCTTTGGCATTACACTGTACTTGCATATTGCCAGTCTACCTCCCATGCATACATTTCAATTAAAGTTGAGCAAAGTACTAAGAAGTTCTATTATATTCATTGCAGAAAAGTGAGTTAATAGACCAAAAGATTTTGATTGGAAAAACTCAGAAGTAGCATTCAAAAAGCATCAGTTATCTGTGCATTCATCAACATAGTAAATAATTAAGGAACATTCTCTTGCGTTGTTATATATATTTATGTATTCCACTTACCTGGCCTCCAAGGTCCCAGAATACAAGTTTTGTGTTTAAAACTTCAACGCGACCGATATTAAGCCCTACAGTTGGAACAATTCGATCAGGTGGTAGGCCTTCCAAGTTTGAGTATAAGGATTTCAATTTCTCCAACAAAGTCTAATTCAGAAACAACAAGAAGGATCAGCAATCTTTTAGCAAAATTTTCAATATAAATAAAACCCAACAAATGAAGTTTAGAGTAATCACCGTTTTTCCAGCCTTATCGATTCCAAGAATGAGTACATGAAACTCCGTCTTACTAAATAGGTACTTCCAAAGTCCATAAAAGAGCGAGAACATATCTGCCTTGTTTGATCTAATAAATCACTTGTTCCCTCCGTTCTTAACCACCAAATAATTTACAGTCCCAACACCGGATTCCTGAAAATAGGAACAACTCATCATTAGATGGGAATTAGCCAAAGGATGAACCTAGTGAGTCAAATACAAATAACTCAGCAAGGTCAAGTCCTCTAAACAGTGTTTCAAGTTCAAGTTTACATTGGTAAAATTATGTCTGCAACAACTCTTCTAATCTATACAAGTTAGAAATGGCCAGAAGAATCATTTCAGAAGCTTGTTATTCAACAAATTATGTATAACAAAACAAAAATCGCTTCTTTTTCAGCTTTTTCCTACTATTCAATAAAAAATCTCAAGAAGCAAGCATTCAACATTCCGTGTTTCCTACCCAAATCAATTAACGAGCCAAATCTACTCAAATTAAAAATAAAATTCGCCATAAAACACAAACCGATCGCTTCAGATCTTGAATTTCAATCTTTAAGTAAATCAAAATTGACAACAACGATGAAAGAACTAGATCCAATAGGGCAGTGGAAAGATAAGTCTGAGATCTCATCCCAAAGAACAAAAAGGGGAACAAATATGAATCCAGCCTAACAGCTTCGCAAGCTTAGAAGTATATAAATAAATCAAAATCCATGGCAAGTACTACCAGATCTAAACAAAAGACACAAACAAATAATTATAATTTGGAAAGAAACATGAGAAGAAATACCTATTTTCAATGGAATTTAATTGCAGAATTCTGCTTACTCCTGCCGTTGAGTCCTGTAAAACAATTGAATAAATAAATTAAGAGCGGCTGCTGCTTTTAATTTCCTACGAAATCCTCCTCTGTAATTCTTTTGCCATTTCCTTTTCTTTTTTGGTTCCCTCGGTGACTTACCTTTTATATTAACGAGTAAAATACACTCAGGTCACTTAATTATTAATTTGATTACAAATATTTAAATGTTCACAATAAAAATAGGGTAAAGTATACAAAAGGTCTCCGACTATAGTATATTATTTTATTAATTTCATTGATTATTAAAAGTTACAAAATGATCCCTTAACTATAGAGAATTATTTTGTTGAGTCACTCGACTATTAAAAGTTACAAAATGACTATCTGACTATTCATTATGTTCCAAACTTATTTTTTTCTGTTAAAATATTAACGGTTATTTGAGTTGGACATTAATATGCTGACTGAGATATAATAGTCGTTTGAGATTTTGAGATCAAATTATATCATATCTCGGTCAGTAGGTTAATGTATAACTCAAACTTTCGTCAATTTTTAACGAAAATGACAAGTTTGGAACATAATGAATAGTCGGTGACCATTTTGTAACTATTGATACTCGAATGACTTATTTTAAAATAATAATAGTTGAGAGACTCAACAAATCAACTCTATATAGTCGATGGACCATTTTATAACTTTTAATAATTGGGGACTCAACAAAATAATATCCTATAGTCAGAGGACCATTTGTGTACTTTACCCCAAAAAATATTATTCGTTTCATTAAAATATTATGATAGGCATATCACTCCATGTTAATTATTAGATAAAATATTAACATATCTTAATAATTTTAATCTCTAAACTTTATATATTCAATCAATTTGAAACAATTCAATAAATTAATTTTGTATATTTAATTTTTTTTATCAATTCAGTCTTTGCTCTTCTACTAAATTACTTTTTCTTCCCTCATAATAATAGTTTAACAATAATTTATTGTTTCTTTACTATAGAATGTAAATATCTGATTTTTTTTTATCTGATGAACTTGCTTAATTTGACAGTATTGTAGAAAGAATTAAATTGATAAAAAATTAAATATAAATAGTTAATTTACTGAATCATCTCAAAGTAAAATTAAAATCATAAAATATATAAATTTTGAATATTGAAAATATTATTATATAAATCGTATTAGACATTTATTTCTATTTTAATAACAAGATGGCGAGTTTATAATAATATTTTAATTAATTGATTAAATTATAATTTAAAAAAAACAAAGATATATTTGTAACCAAACTAATAATTAAGTGACCCGGGCTGTAATTTACCCTTTACATTTAATCTTACAAGCTTTCACGATAATCAAGGCTATTCCAGCTTGCTCCTTTGTTCAGCAAATGTGAAAGAGGAGGGATGCTTTGTTCATGCCTAAAGAAATTCTCAGGATCAACCTTCGTCTTTACATGTACCAATCTGTCGAAATTGTTTCCGAAATATTTAACACCCCAGATTCTGGCTTCTGCATAGCTTCCTTTGTTAACCCCAATCTCAAGATCTTTGAAATTAACATATACTTCCCGTGGAGATTAGGAAACGTATGGAGCCATGTAATCGTAGACTTCCCTCATCCATGTCATAAACTTTTCAGAGTTTAGATTTTCATCTTCTCCCCAATTCAATACGTACATGATGCTGTAGAGATTTCCAGTTCTGTGAGGGAATGGTGTTTCAGTCTCAAGAACCTCTTCCATTTTCCCTCCATAAGCCACGAGCACCATAATTGCAGATTTCGCTTCTTCCTCGTGAAACTTTGTCCACAATCCTTCGAACGCTGGTTCGGGAATGGGTTGTTTTACGTATTCGCTTTGAAGAACAGCTTGGAAAGAATTGATTTGCGGTTCCTGTCGAGTAAAGTTTCCAGTGGTACACCGATGGGAAACTGGGTTGAGTACAGGTTTGATTCAGCCCAACTCATCTCGAAGCAATCTTCTTTCACGATTCCAAGCTCTGGGAAATTCTCTTCCATCAATGAAACAAGCTCATCAGTGCTGCCAAGAAATACGGATCTGAAACTTGCTTGAATCATCGTTTTCTCGTCTTCGCTTGATTTCACCCTCCATATGCCGATGCTCGAGTGTATTTCGTCGGGAAATTTGTGCGCGATGTATTGCCATTGATGAACAAGTTTGGTCGCGTTTTGGTCTAGCGTTTTGGTGACTGTGAAGACGGTAACATTTGCTGGAACAGGGACTAGTTTCAGTTTCCAAGCGAGGACTATGCCGAAGCTACCTCCACCACCTCCTCGAATTGCCCAAAACAAATCTTCTCCCATCGATTTTCTGTCGAGAATTCTCCCTTTAACATCGATTAAACAAGCATCGATTACATTATCGACTGCAAGACCATATTTTCGGAACAACAAGCCAAGCCATCCTCCACTTAATTGTCCACCAACACCAACGGTGTGGCCTGTACCAGCCGAAAAGGCAAGAGTTCTACTCCTCCAAGCAATTTCGTAGTACAATTCACCAATAGTCGCACCGTATTCAACCCAAGCCGTAGCTTTCTCGACGTTAACCTGAACCGATCGAAGATTCACCAAATCGATCACCACAAACGGAACTTCACAAGCTGTAGAATAAGAAAGACCCTCAAAGTCATGACCCCCACTTCGAGTTCTGAGTTGCAGTCCGAGTTTTCTGCAGCAATAGACTGTTGCTTCGATGTGGGATGCGTGCTGTGGTGTTACAATTGCCAGGGGTCTAGGAGTTGAAGGTGTTGTGAACCTGAAATTTTGAGCAGACGAATTCAAAACAGAGGAGTAGGAAGAATTATGGTGTGTGTAAACGAGGTTTGCAATGGAAGAGTTCTGAGAACGAATGGAAAGGCAACGAAGAAATTCCTCGGAAGGCAGAGCTGAAGTAGTGATCTTCCATGGCAGGGATAGGAAAGAAAGAAGAAGAAATGGAAACACCAACTCGTTCTGATCCATTGTGTTTTAACAGTTGCTTTAGACTATTTAAGAACAAAAATTTCTGGGTTTTGAATAGCTTTCCCTGTCGTTGGTGATCTAATGCTAGGCTGGTGTGCAACAGCTGCTCGGTATTAAACTAATTATAAACGAGTCTCTTCTTAATTAATCCAAATTCTTTTTCCAAGTAAAATAAAGCAAGTTGTGTAAAAGGATGAATCATTAAGATGTGCGAGTCTTCTAATAATACAAATGAACGCCGTGTTACCTTGTATACTCGTTATTTAAATTCGTATTAAATTTAAACAAAGAATAAAGGAGAAAATTATGATTAAGATACAAATAAAAACAATTAGACTAGACCATCAATAATGCAAATAATTGTCTAACCATTTGGAAATTTAATAATATGAAAACTTGCAAAGAAATATGTATCTGATCTTACAAGCTTCAATTCTTATCAAGGCTGCTCCGGTTTACTCTCTTCTTCAACAGACGTGAGAGCGGAGGGATGCTTTGTTCATGCCTAAAGAAGTTTCCAGGATCAACAATGGTCTTTACATGCACTAATCTGTCGAAATTGTTCTTGAAATATTTAACACCCCAGATCTTGGCTTGTTCGTAGCTGTCCTCGTCGTTGTCGATTTCATTAGCTCCGATCTCAAGATCTCTGTAATTAACATACGCTTCTCGTGGAGATTTCGAGACGAATGGAGTCATGAAACTGTGAACTCGCCTCATCCAACTCATGAACTTTTTTGGATTTTTATTTTCCTTTTGTTCCCATGTCACCACGTATATGATGTTGTAGAGATTACCAGCCCTGTGTGGATTTGGAGTTTCAGTCTCGGGAATCTCATCCATTTTCCCTCCATAAGCCGTAAGTGTCATACTTGCGGTTTTTGCTTCTTCCTCGAAGAACTTTGGCCACAATCCTTCAAATGCTGTTGCAGGGATGGATTGTTTTACGGAGTCGGATTTCGCCTTGAAGAACGTGGCCGGAATTCGATTCCGATCGAGTAAGGTTTCTAATGGTATTCCGACCGGGAACCCGTTTGAGTATAGAATAGATTCAGCCCAACTCGATTCCAAACAATCTTCTTTCGTTAGGTCAAGTTCTGGGAATTTGTTTTCCATCAGTGGAACAAACTCATCAATTTTTCCAAGAAACACGGAACCAAAACTTGCTTGAATTGTCATCTTCTTCTCATCTTCACTTGTTCTGATCCTTGAAATTCTAACGTTCATGTGTACTTCTTTGGGAAGTTTGTGCCCGATTGACAGCCATTGATGAACGAGTTTGGTTGCGTTTTGTTCTAACGTTTTGGTGACTGAACAAGAGGTGAGATTAGCAGGAACCGAGACTAATTTCAGTTCCCAAGCAAGAACTATTCCAAAGCTACCACCTCCACCTCCTCGAATGGCCCAAAACAATTCTTCTCCCATCGATTTTCTATCGAGATTCCTCCCGTCAACATCGACTAAACGAGCGTCGATTACGTTATCCGCGGCGAGACCGAATTTTCGAAGCAAAAGACCCTCGCCTCCTCCACTTAAATGTCCACCAAGACCGACGGTGTGGCCGACGCCAGCCGGAAAGGCAAGAGTTCTACTTCTCCGAGCAATTTCATAGTACAACTCACCGATGGTCGCACCGGATTCAACCCACGCCGTAGCTTTCTCGACGTTCACCTGAACCGATCGAAGATTCACCAAATCGATCACGACAAATGGAACTTTATAAGCTGTAGTATAAGAAAGACCCTCAAAATCATGACCCCCGCTTCGAAATCTGAGTTGCAGTCCGAGTTTTCTGCAACAAGAGACTGTTGCTTGGACGTGGGATACTTGCATAGGTGTTATAATGGCCAGAGGTGTAGGAGTAGAAGGTGTTGTGAACCTGGAATTTTTAGCGGTTGACTTCAAAACGAAGGAATATGTAGAATTTTGTTGCGTGAAAACGAGTTCTGCAATGGAAGAAGAGTTCTGAGAACGAAGGGAAAGGCAATGAAGAAATTTCTCGGAAGGCAGAGCTGAAGTAGTAATTTTCCATGGCAAGGATATGAGAAAAGCTAGAAGAAATGGAAACCACTCCTTCTGATCCATTGTGTTTTTTATTTCTAGAATATTTAAGAACTCAAATGATGGGTTTTGAATAGATTTCCTTGTCGGTGGTGATATAATGCTAGGCTGGTATTAAACTAAGAGTAAACTAACGACTAAATTATAGTTAAAAATTAATTTGATTACCGAATTTTTAATTGAATTAATTAGATCATCTAATTATTTAATTGATTTAATCAAATTATCGGTTGTTAATTTTTAAAAGAGGTGGTGACATACCCGTTAATAAAATTGACATAATTATATATTTGGTCCATAATATTTACATAATCTATCAATTTAGTCATTATTTTAATTTAATTAAATAAATTTAACTATCTAATTAGAATGTGACATGTGTCAATACATGATTGGGTCAAAGGTTAATTCAAAATTTGACTGAATTAACCGAAATTTATTCGGATTGGTTAATAATTTTCAAATAAATTTTGATCCAATTAACGGTTAAAGGTTTATTAATAATAAAAAATTAAACAAATTATTTGTCCTTTAAATAATTCAATCAAAGCATATCACTTTTAAATAATTCACTTTTTTACACTGCACTTTTCATGCTATCGTTGGTAGTCAATTGTCGCCCATTGTTGATCATCTTTCGTGACAATATCAATACAAAAACATTCACATTTCATTCCACTTTATTCTCCTAAGATTGATTTTTTACGAAATTCACTCAAAATAAGTGAAATTGAACCAAAAAAATTAATCATTTTTAAAACTTTAAAGGTTTTCTTAGATTTAAGTAGTTTGTTGTGTTTGTTACAAAATTTAAGTAGTGAGAAACATTATTCTAAAAAAAATGAACAACTAAACTCTAATAGTGTATTGGTTTATCCATATCATCACAATAACAAAAAAGGCTTTGATCATATCATAATGTCATTAAAATTTAATGATCTAATGATATACTTGAAGTCAAAACTAAAATTTAGTGTTATAATTAAAACAATTAAAAATTTAATAATTTAAATGAAACACCACTTAAAACTTAGTGTTGTTTACCCTATAATATATTAGGATGAAAAAAAACAATCATTTATGTGTAAGTTTGAGTGCAAATTTCGGACTTGAATCCGAAAAGTTATTTATTATTTATATAAAATTTACATGTTATTGTTTAAATTTAGACTAATTAAGTTAGCTATCAGATATTTTAAAAAATTTATACTTAAAAATAGAAAGGGTAAAAGAATAAACCAAATTCGGATAAGGAATATTCACCCTCTTATCCAGAAAATTACAGTAAATTTGAATAATAAATGTTCAATGTTGAAATTTACTTTTGTTTCTATCCACTACATAGTAATTAGAATAATCAAAATTCGGGTTGTTTTAATTTATAATACAGAAATTTATTATTATGAAATTTGAAATCTTAAATACACAAGATTTATATGGCTTTATTTGGAAAACTAATACGTTAACAAATTTGATGAATTAGAGATGATAAATTGCGATAGTAGATTTGGATATTATAGATATTGTATTCATTTCCACTAGATTCAAACATTATGAATTTTATGAATTCATTATACGGTTTCAGCGATAAACCCGAGGTCGTTATCTTCCTCGTTCTCTCCCACTCCACTTTCGCCACCTTTGATCTCACCTCCTCCGCCGCTACCATCAATGCTCCACAACAGTCCCCCTTCTTCACAACAGTCAACCACCTCATGATCATGCGGAGCACGCCGTCCTCTCTTCACTCCTCGCACCCATCCTTTCTCATCTCCGCTTCAACGAGCTTGCCACCGCTACTTGGTATAGTCCCTACACTATCTTTGCTCCCTCTAATACCTCTGTTCGTTCATGTATTTCTTGCTCTACACATTCCTTCCTCCTCGAACACATGGTATCATTCGTCAAAGACCATGAAGACGTTTTTTTCTTCCGCTCCGATTGACGTCGTGGTTTCCGACCCGAGTATCATCTCCGCCGATGCTTTCTTCATCTGCGATTGTTGCATGTATCCAATTTTTGTTGGGTTCATCGAACGTTTTTGCTACTATCGAAGATCCTCTCTTGCATGCTTTTCTTCTCCCTCGGTTCCATCGGAATGTCTGCTGCCTCTTCCATACTCATTATTGAACATCGCAGTCAGAGATGGTTCATATTTCGCTGGTTCTTTTTCATTTTTTGTTGTTGGAGTCAATCTTTTTTTTCCCCATCAATTTCTTTCTCAAAGGATGATCTCGAATATATATTCCATCTTGATCCATTTGGAGACTCTGGACTGCATAGACTGGAGCTTCCAATGATTCGAGAGGCACGTCTTCGTGTCTTGGTTGTTTGCACAATTTTTCATCAAGGAAGCAACAATTTCCGATCTGTGTTTAGCTAAGATTGGTGAGATCGTCGTAGTTTTCTTTCAACAGATTCTTCATGAATTCTTGTTAAGTGATATGCTATTCTTGTTGATTGGTGATATTGGTTTTTTATGTTTGCTACTAGAAGTCATTGTTGATCATAGAAGCAGAGGAGGGTATGCTACATAGAAAAGTGCTGTAATTATTTTTAACATGGAACTTGATGTTTAACAGTCAAATATCCATTGTGAAGGAAAAATACTCTGGGAAGTGGGAAGGGTATAGTGTTTAATAGACTAGTTCTTTATTAACCAGACAAAATAGGATGCGGTCTTGCGTAAAAGAGGCTTCAGATTGTATTTGGAAGTTTGTAGCTTGATCGCCTTGTTTCTATCAAAAAGAAAGTCCCAATAAATGTTGAAGAATAAAGACAATAGAGAAGGAAAGAAGATGTTAGAGAAGAAAGATGAATGAATGAAGATGAAGAACAGTGTTTTGTTGCCAGCAACAGTATCTCACTAAGAAGGTAGAAGTCAAAAGAAGAAAAAGTTTAAGAAACAGAGTAAATATTAGAGTATAAGATTAATTCATAAACCCAATGGTTATAAGTGGGCTAGAGCAACAATTCAAAGTACACTTTTAGTATTTCTCACACCAGAAACGGAGGGCCCTTGGGGTTAAGGGGCCCGGACCCTGCTCCAATTTTATATTTTTTTACCTTAGTACTAATATAATTGTAAGAGCCGCAAAAATACATATAAATATATTAAATATTAAAATATTTCATAGAAAAAACTTGAGTTAATCACTCTCTAATAGAATAAAAATCCTCTAATATTGCTTTAATCTGATTCTTCATTGTTCGACACTCAATTTTTAAAGATACATAATTAAATAAAAGTGTATTTATTATTTTTCAATTAGAATTATTTGGTCTTATATTTAATTTTAGTATTCCTTTAGTTAATATAATAACCGTTAAGTTGAATAGTGATTACTAAATCTGATTTTTATGTTCGTGAATTAATTTTATATAAATGCAGCTTACTATAGGAAAAAAATCCAACAATTATTGAGCTTTTTAAGAGAAAAAGCAAAAAAACTTTGAAAAATAAAAATAATTATATATCATTTGATTGAAGAATAACAACTTGAAACTAAAACTGGTTTGAATCAAACAAATAATTTTCATATAAATATAAGATCAAATAATTCTAACAAAAAATGACCATTAAAAAAATGCTTATTCAAAAAAATGCTTATACGAATGGGCATACAAATTAATGAGGTTTCAGGTTGTATGCGAAAAAATGCCCATTCAAAAAATGCTTATATGAACAAATAATTTTATTAAACAAGTAATTTTCAAACAAGTAAATGGAATAAGCATTTTAAAATAAATGAAAAAAGTTGTTATTTTAAGATGCATGGAAAAAATGATTTGAAGGAGTGACACATATTATTGTGATTATGTAATACTTATGTCTTTTGTACTTTTTAAAATATTATTTTTTATTATTTATTTTAATTTAATGTTTAGTTTTTGATTTCTTATAAATATAGAACTATACATATTTGATGTTATCATTTATATTTTTTGAAATAAACAAATAATAAAGATAAAATTATATATATAACTTAAAATTATTAAAAAAATTCGGACTCTGTTGAGATTTAATTCTGACTATGTCTCTACAATATATATTTTTAATAAAATTATATATATAAATTAAAACTGTTAACAAAACTCAGACTCTGTTAATATTTAATTCTGACTATATCTCTCCAATGTATGTTACAAATTAATTAAAAAAATTATATACCACCTTAAACTATTAAAAATTTGTAATTTAATGGACAGGAGTCGTGTTCAATATGCAGTTGAGCAATGGGCGGCTATGAGGTTGACCTTTGATTTGTCAAATTATGATGTTATTTCTTTTATTTTTTTTGAAAAAATATTTTTATATTTTATAAAATTTTAGAAAATAACCCAATTATTGGTAAACATATAATTATGTACACAATAGTGTTATCCAATAAATTATATGTCTCATCTTAAATGAGGCAAACATTCAACGGCACGGTTTAATATTATTTTTTCCGGATTACGATCTTGCAAATTATTATTATTTTTGATTAATTTCAAATTATTTTAAATAAAGATTTGTGTGTGAAAAATGACGAGAACCAGCAACTGGGCTTGACTTTAGTTAATCTCCACGTTCATATGTAGCAGCAGATGACCCAGTCCATCAAACTTTGTTTTATAAATAATGTAATCGCAACACAGTTTCTACATGCACCCACAAACAAAATTAGTTTTCTCACTTCTTTCCCAATAACATGATCCCGTTTGTTCACCTCCTCATCCTCTCCTTTCCATGGAAAATCAGTGCTTCAGCTCAGCAGGCTGAGCAATTTATCCATTGTCTTTCCCTTCGTTCTCACAACTCTTCCATTGCAAACCTGGTTTACACACCATGATTCTTCCTACTCCTCTGTTTTGGATTCATCTGCTCAAAATTTCAGGTTCACGACGCCGTCTACTCCTACACCTTTGGCCATTATAACAACACTCCACGCATCCCACGTCCAAGCAGCAGTCTATTGTTGCAGAAAACTCGGAGTGGTGGTCATGACTTCGAGGGTCTTTCTTACACTACAGCTCATAAA